GCTAAAGACAGGCTGAGAGAGTTGGGGTTGTTCACCTGGAGAAGAGAAGGCTCTGAGGAGACCGTATAGCACCTTCCAATACCTACAGGGGCCTCCAAGAAAGCTGGAGAGGGACTGTTTACAAGGACATGGAGTGATAGGACAAGGGGTAATGGCCTTAAGCTGAAGGAGGGTGGATTTAGATGAGATGTTAGGAAGAAATTCTTCCCTGTGAGGGTGGTGAGGCACTGGCACAGGTTGCCCAGAGAAGCTGTGGATGCCCCATCCCTGGCAGTGTTCCAGGCCAGGTTGGATGGGGCTTTGGGCAACCTGGGCTAGTGGAGGCTGTCCCTGCCCATGGCAAGGGAATTAGAACAGGATGATCTTTGAGGTCCCTTCCAACCCAAACCATTCTAGGATTCTATTGTTTTAGTTCAGGAAGCTTGACACCCCTGTGATCCTTTCTTATTAGTACATGCTTTTCCTGCTTACAGGTCTCCTGATCAACAGAGAGCTAAAGATAAAGAACTTATATTTTTTTGCATGAAAAAGAGCACAGTAAGAGTTTGATGAACAGACACTTTTATAATAAAACTCTTCTGTCTCATTGAAACTGTAGATTGCTAGCTATTACATGACACTGAACAGTTTTCCTTTCAGTATTATCATACAGTGACTTAAATGTGATGAGGCATTAGAAAAGATTGAATTATTTTAATTTTACTTTTTCACTGGGTTCTGAAGCCATTGTGTTTTATTTTGAGGTAAATTATCCTATTTATCTTGTCTGCATCAATACCTTTATGAATAATGCAAGAAGCTGGTATGCTAAAAGTAAAAATTACAGACCTGTCCTTAAAGGACAGGATTAACATCCTGCAAGAGCTTACTGAAAACCAACTGGTGCCTTTATTCTACAATACAAAAATGTGCGATTTTTAAGCTTTTGCAAAGCCATTATAGTGGAGTGTTGCCAGATCCATTAACAATTCTGTACTAATGACAGTTAAATAACTGAGTGGGGTAAGATGTTGTAAGAAGGCTTGAATAAAAAAACCTGCAAAAATAGTTCCACAGGGGTAAGAGCAGCAATGTCTTATGTTGAATTACAGTTAGAAATGAAAAATATTACACTTAGTGCAAAGGTAGCGCAGATATTTAGCTGAAGACTACAGAGGCAAATTAAGGTTATGGAAAAATTTTCAGTTCCCGAGGAAATATTAAATTGGCCATTTCTCACGAGCACTCTGTTTGAGACTATCTAGCTATTAAGGCAGATATACAGAAAGTCCGTACAAATTTGTGAATCGGCGAATGTGTATTCCCATGGTTTAGGTGTGTAGGAGGACAAGGTGAAGATGTGCGTGTAAAGACCCAGGCTCTTGTATCCATGGCAGGATGCTGCGAGAAGGCAGAGCCTGGAGCCCGGAGAGCTGTGTGCTCGCTCTGCTGCCGGGAGCACCGAGGGCGGGCAGGACCTAAAGCATGGGGACACAGCCAAAAAATGTCCCCCCCCGTTGTTTCCTCTGGCCTGTGTCATTACAGAATTTCCAAACAGGTTTTTCTGTGCTCCTTTGAAGAATGATTATAATTTTTGTACTGTTTTCACTCTCGGGTCAGAGGTAGATGCTTTCATTTAACGTAACTTTATGAAGAAAGTAAATATAGCGTATTCCGGTAAGCATTTGCGCGCACGAAACACACATCCACGCACAAAAATAGTGCATATATACCTCAAATTTTATAGCGAAACCCCAAACCAGACTTGGATAGGAAGATATTCATCCTGAGGCAAGTATGCAAATATAGTGCTAGGATCTAAAGATGGAAAAGCAAAGATGAAGAAAGGCGAATTGATACTCATTCTCCGAACTGGCCGTTATGTATAGCAACGTCTTCCTACGCACAAAAATCCTCAAAAAAGTGTTTTCAAAAGCCATAGTAAGTCCAGATGGAAGTGATCTATTAGGTGAAGTAAGTAATGTCATGGTATGTGACACACCATTTTATAAAGCTGTTATTTGCAGTTCCCGCTTGGTGCTATGAGCATCTTAAATCATGCTGAATTTCTAAAACAAATCCATAATATTATCCCATACCTACAGAGCTATGTTTATACATGTGCTACAAATAATGCACAGGATAAGGGAGAAGCTTACAGACCTAATCATAATATTTTCTCTCCTTTTAGTCTTTATATACATCCTTTTAAGCATGGGAATAAGAAACTGCAATGTATTAAACAAATGGAGAAGCTGCTAATGGTTTTCCCTGTTTATACTGCTCTTCCTGCATATTGTATTACCCGGTGCTGCTAACGATGCGTCGCCAAAGGAATACTAACTCGCTGCAGAAGCAGGGGAAGGGTTGCTTCCCCATTCCCCTCCCTGCACCACCAGCCCAGCCCGTCTCCAGCGCGCACATGCAGGAGAAGGCTGGGCTGAGGAGCTAGGAGGAGTGCCGAGTTCAACCTGGAGAGGAGCCGAGCACCTCCTGTAAACTGGAAATGGCTCTGGGAGAGGAGAGGTAGTGGTAGGGAGCAGAGCTTGAAGGATTTTTTTAGTAGTTCTGCATCAATGGTGTCTTTCATGGTGGATTTTCCCAAAGCGGCCAGCACGGCGCCTGCTCTTCCCTTGCCCTCTGTCCCTGGCCTGGGTCGGGCAGTGCTGCTGTAACTCCTCTCGTTTAAGGAGGTCAGGGGAGTAAAGGAAGAACCTGTGCAACTGAAAACAAGTCCTGTTTTCCCAGATTCCTGGTTTAAGAAATTGGTTTGTGTCTCCCTAAACGTCAGTGGACAAAAGCTATAAACAGCTATGGTACTGCCTTAAGAAAGTCATCTAGTCTTGCAATAGTTCTATGTATTATCTTCATTTTCTGACACAATCTAGAGAGACTCATACACTGAAGCTCCTCTTCTTCCATTAAGTAAGCTGCTGAGTAGTTTTGGTATCTTGGCCGACAGGCTTTCTGAAAAGTAATCTACCAGTCAATTCATATCCTACACTATGAGCCTAAATCAAATACGCTTTCAAAGGGGCTCAAGTTTAGAAATGAACTTTAGGACAATTCTATTGATTTTGTAAATTAAAAATGTAAAATTGAATGGATAGAGGTCCGGTACAGGACTGACCTGAGGAAGCAATCTTTAAACAGGAACATTTTCTGATTCAACATTGGGAAAGAAAAGAAAGCAAGAAGAAGGATTCATTTGCAATTGACCTGCAACAGCAAAGTAATTCACTTTCCAAATAGGATTAAACTTGTTCCATCAGCCATGACATGTGAAAAGATCATGGTTATAAATTCCATTTGCTGTAATGAATTGAAAGTGTCTGAGTTTGCAAGCAGCACTCATTGTTGATGGACAGCTAGATTTGTGCAGTGTTTTAACACTAAAATTAGCTTCTACAAAGTAAAAAGTACAGAAAAGGTGGCAGCAGTGACAGATTTTTAAAGCATAAAAAAAATTGACTTTATTGTTAGATGGGAGCTGAATAAAGCTAGAAATAAAGAGTGGTTATAACCCTGTTACGTAGATAACTTGCTTCATTCTTGAGCGAGGGTGAACGCAACACTAGAAAAAGGCATTTGTTTAGGTTTCTCAGCCATATTTCAACAAGAATAAATATTGTTACTTAAATGAGGAAAAATCGAACTTTTCTATTGTATCATTTGTAAGATGTAAGAAAATGGAATGGTATTGAAGGATACGTCATTCAAATCAATTTCAACATACATCAGCGTGACTCCACTGCAGTCCATGAAACCATATTAGTTTATATATTTTGTAAATTGAGAAAAAAGCTACATGCTATGGTTACTTAATAACCTTAACTCAGTCTTGCATCAGGATCACAAGACCTTTGTACTTTGATGCTTGCAGATCTAAGTGCAGTTTCAGAACCTATTTTCCCCAAAATCGTGTGTTTGGTGTGCACAATTTTATGCGTATTTCAAATGTACTGTTTGCCAGGAAAAAAATCTCAATGGATGAAAACAGCTAATATTTGCAGATAATTTGAGATTCATTTTAATTGATAAGATACCCAGCTGAAAACTGTCCAAGATTTAACAAAAAAAAAAAGCTTGAGCTAAACAGATGAATGAAAATATAATAGCTTCTTAAATTACCACAAGGTTAACATATAATTAATTTGCTAATTTTAATTACAACCCTACAAAATGTGCTGAAAAATGCTCAAAGGGGAGAAGCAGCCAGGTGCTGGCCGTGATTAACCAAGGTTCCTAGCAATTATGAGGTCTCTATTAACCATGTTACAGAAATTTTAAAAACTCCTTTTTAAAACCAGCACACTTATTGAAACTCAGCAGGGTATTCATCTTGCCATACCTTTCCATTGCTACAGACTTGCTGTCGTTTGCCTCGCTCTTTTCCAGCTAAATGTTTTATTGCAGCTGAAACATGGACTACTTTTTTCTGTTTGTCACACGCTGCTACACGTGTACTAGGGGTTTATTGTGATCATACAAACAAAAGAGATTAAACTGTTGTTTGCAAAGTGCTCTGAGCACCTTAAGTGCCGGATAGCTGTAAATATCGCAGCAGAACACTAGAAACAAATCCTGGAGAAACTGCTCTTTCTTTCCAAGGTGTCCTGGGACATGCGGTTTGTAAAGCAGGAGTATTGCTGAAACTGCCTTTTCGGTGGAGAACCTGCTCTGCAGTGCTTTATATGACACAGGCAAATGTAACTTCCAAGTTAAAAACAGAGAACAAAAAACCTCCGCGTGTTTACTTTGCATTTTAAACAAATCACAGTGTAAACGAATGTCTTGTACGTATCAAATTCCATGATGTATAATTGTTCTTTTTTATTGTTGTTATGTGAGTCATGTTTTAAGTGTCTGTTCTTTGGAACCGTAATAAACCTTAATCCATTTATTAAAGGAAGATTAAAAAAAAAAGAAAAAAAAAACCATAAAAAAAGAAAACCAAACCTAACGCATTGGTGTCAAAGGAAATTAATTTCCTGGCTGGCTTGTGTTTTTCTCTGAGGCAGATATTGATGAGTGTGCAGAGGGGATCATTGAGTGTCACAACCATTCACGCTGTGTTAACCTCCCAGGGTGGTACCACTGTGAGTGCAGAAGCGGTTTCCATGACAATGGAAGCTATTCTCTTTCCGGGGAGTCCTGTGTTGGTAAGCAATGATCAGCATAGCGCTTTTTTTTTCCTCCTTCTGCATGGCGTTACAAAGTGACTACTGAGACTCTGTCCTGAGCAGTTACTGTGTTTTTAAGGCTAAAATGAGAATGCAAGTGAGCGTGTCTGTCAGCATCCCCAGCCGCTCAGCGTGGGTGCTAGTTCAAGACGCATCCTGGTTTTGAATGGTTATTACAAGAGGGAGGCAGTCGGGGATCCAGAGTGTGACTTACCGTGCTTTGCCATTTATCATAATAAATTGCTGTAAAACCTGAAGTGCAAGTAGGCTTTCTGGGGAGCATAATAGGCCACAAAAAGGGAAGAGTTGGGTTTCCATTTTCAAATTTCAGCAGAGCGATGGGAAAACACATTTGGGGTATGTCTGTGTTGCTTTGATTTGTTTGTTTTCCGTTGTTTGGCATCTTCATCCTTTTATTTTTAGAATTATGCAAATAGCATCAAGCTCTTTATGCACCATATTTGCAGAATAAGGCCCTAAGAGCAGGAACAGAGAGGAATTTTTAAAGGGTGCAGTGGAGTTTGTTGGTTGTTTCTGTGGGAGGACAAAGGATGAGGCTCCATGAGGAGTTAGCGCTGGGCGCCCTTGACTGTCCGTAAGACTTTGTGTGCCACCACAGCAAGCGAGCAGTAATAAAATCATAGTGAAGATGGTAATTGTGGCTTTACCTCTGCCTTACGCATTTTCCACCTTTTTACTTATTTTCAGATACCTTATACATAATTTCTAGATGATATTTTATCAGATGAGTTTAAAATTATTTAGAAAGGATCCCATTTTAACTTCTGTAGAGATACAGATGAACTTCTCATAGTTCTACGTCCTTTCTTTGGAATTTCAGTTACTTCATCTCTACTCGGTGCTATGAATTTTCTGTAAAAGCTTTTCTGCTGCTTCTGTGAAAGGCTTTTTTTTTTTTTTGAAGACTGTAAATTTCCTTTATCATGTCCATAAGTGCACAGGGCTCTTTCTAAGAGTTAAAGTGTACAATTAAAGTAAAAGTTAAAGTAAAAATTTGTAATAAAAAAATATAAATTTACAACAAACATTCCTGTCTTTTACAAATTTTAGCTATTACAAGTCCTTGAGATGAGATAGCAGCATGATTTAAAAATGCAGAGGAACAACACTTATTTTCAAAACCAATATTTTGTAGATTGCCCAGCTATATTAGCTTTTTACACATTGTCCGAAGCTGGCGGGGAGCTCAGTAAAGTCACAGCAGTTAACTTCATTGGGGTGGCTGTGTTTAAAAAAAAAAAAAAAAGAAAAGAAAAAAAAGGCAAACTTCACAGCATTTTGTGACTTACTAGATAAAATACCATGTGAAAGATATTTCTAAACAGATTCTCAAATGTTAAGAGGTCTCCCCTGGTTTATTTAAATACTGTAAAAGGAGCGATGGATACAGCGATGTTGCAAATGCTTTAGAAGTCAAAGCAACATGACATAACCTTCAAAAAGCCCCGAGGCAATTGGGGATAAGGGGCGTTTGTAGCATTCCTGATGCCTACCCGTACTGGTTGCATGGGGAACCCCAACCCTTGTCGGGCTGCTTTGGGACGAAGAAGATGTAAGGCTCAGGGTGGTCTCGAGAAAAGACAGACGTGTAGATGAGCCTGTGGTTTTGAAGGGCCCGTAGCTAGGCTCAGTTGCTGAAAAGGGCAGTATTGCTTGCGTGGCATCGCTGTTAAAGCGAAGGGCGCTTGGCTACCTCACAGCAAAACGGAGCCCAAAACGTTCTGCGTTCTCTGGAGATCGAAGGGATGTGTTTTCATGCAAACAGAGTGCCCTGGTTTTGACCTGCGTAGCATGCTGGAAGTTCGTAAGGTGAGGTGCTCATCTTGCCATATGCAAGTTGTAAACCGAACGTGAAATGAGTGGGTTATTTTAACGAAATAGCTTTTCTGAACCATCTGCTGCAGGATACCAGTGAGGAAGAGAATAAACCAGTTTGTTTTATTTCATTATACTGGTTAACCAATTAAAAATTAATCGAAATATTCTGCTAACCCATATTGACAAAGAAATTGCAAACCATGATGTTTATTTTAAAGTGCAAGTAAGAATTGGTTAAAATGACAGATAGATAACACTACACATTCTAGCTAAAACTTGATTTCCACACCACCGACTTCCATTGTGTTACAGAGCTTGTTTGCGTGGTGGAGTATTTAGAGTCAGGGCCAGAGTCATTCACTCTATTTCAGATAAAAGTGGGTTCATCTGCTTAGCAACAGCATTTTGTCCTGGCATATTTTACAGACTGTACGCTGAAATCCCAGTGTGTACCTGAGGTGGATTTGGGCCATTGCTCTTCAGTATGTTTTGAAATGTTCCCCTCTTTGTCCCCGAAGGACAAAACTTGGAGAACAATAAATAGGCTAAGAGCGTAAGTAAAAAAAGATTAAACCCTCCCCCACAAAGTAACGATACTAATAACATTTGGAAATCATAAGGCAGTGGGAGGGAGCGCTCAGCTCTGACAGATTGCCCAAAGCCCAGGCAGCGGGATGCATTTGGGTACCTATCGGTTAACCCCCTTTCCCTCTGTTGGTATGTAGGTGGTCTTGGAGCTGAGTCATTGCTTGCTACGTCTCTGCAGTGCTTGCAGAACATTTGGAAAAAATAACTTCTATTTGAGAAGGGTTGTGATAGCTCAGTGATTCTATAAAGCTTTTTTCTCATTGACTATGAGACAACAGTGGAATTTGTTACCTGGCAAGGGACAAATGTGTAAATCAGTGGATGTGACGAGGAAGGTCATAATATTGCACCAGAGCTTGGGTAATAAGGATGTATGACTTAGCCAGGCCGCTTGAAGCTTGGGAAAATTCTTTTATCGCTCCAAATATCAACCAAAGGCAGTTTTGAAAAGGGAATATATTTCTGCAGCCGTGCTTTTATAAAAGATGTCAGCTTCATAAGGTAATGGTGAGCAGGCTCAAATTAAGAGAATGTAATTTAATTTCCAGTGGTAGTGTTTTTATGAGGCACAGGCCTTTCACAATATGTTATTAAGAATACTGCTTGCAGACAAAAGACAATTGCTGTACGAAGTCGCTACCAAAGTTTGCTTGGCAATTAAAACATGTAGGCTATAGTTGCTGGGTTGATTTTTTTTTTCTTTTTTAATGGGAGCTTTGCTACGCTTTCAGGTAAACACACAAAAATACTTAATAGAGAACTATAAGTTGTCATATGATACATATCCTAATATTAACTACCATCTACTGATACCATTTTGAAGCAACTGGCATAATTTGTTTTTTTCCCTGCACTAAGTACCTGTTGCCAAATACTGCTGCCTCATGAGGTAATCATTGAATAAACCCTCACTACTGAATTTTCAGTGATAACCTCTAAGATTATCAGAACCAAAAGAAGGCAAAAACTGGTAAAGAAATGCTGTATTCTGGGAAGTTAATAATGTCTCACAAAGCTCGCTCCTATCTACCGCAGAAAAATAAAAGTAAATTAAATTATACTTTTTAATCCCCATCTCTGTTTAAGTGAGATGCTTCTGATCTGTAGAGAAGCGTTCAGATCCTGGCGTGCAGAATTCCCCGATTCCAATTTTTTCATGATGTTTTGTGTTTCTGAGTCTCTACCTTGTGACTTGCAAGCACAGAAGGAAGAACAACCAAGGCAGCAGTCCCTGACAGTTGTTGGTTATTTTTTTGTTTTCTTTAAGAATCAGTGCAAATTTTGCAGGGAAGCTTAACGCGGATCCTCTCCTACCAAAAACCCCCACAGGATTTGCCGTGTATTTCGTCCTCAGTAGCTAAGACCTCACTGCAGGGTTAGAGTGGTCGTGGGGAAGTGAAAGTTGGAGACAGGCAGGAGTCAGCAGCTTGTGAGAGAAAACTCCATGTGTGTTAGGCTCCCACAAAAGCTGGGTGCAGATATGCTCGAGGGTCAAGTCTGAATAGGTTTAGAGTCAATTCCTGAAGCTTTCATATACTCCCTAGTCGGTTGCAGTGTTGTCTGTTACCTCCATTAGAAAGTAAGAGATAAGGAGGTTTGTTCTTGGTTTATTTTGCCCCCTTTCTGCATCAAACAAAAAGCTAGACCCATCCTTTGAAAATCTTCTTATATGCCTGAGAATTGCTGCTCTGTCTATCATTAGAGAAGTGGTATGTAGACAGAAAGGTTTGCCTATGGTACAGAGTATCCGAGACCAACTCTAGAACCTGCTCTTTCACGACCTTCTTCTGTTCTGCTCATAGAATTTCTTAAAGCTCATAATATCAGAGTCCGTCTGTGGATTTTATCCTGCAAAATAAAAATTATCTTGCTTACTTTCCATTTAGTAAATTCTGTTTCTCGTATTCTGAGAGAAAGTTGCGTTACATGTCTTCAAGGTAATTGTGTTTAGTCATTTCTCTATTTCTAGAAAGCATTAGTAAATCCTATATTCGGAATCTAATTTACTATGCAATGTTCTTTAATAGACCATTATGTCTCTATAGAATAACAGTACTATCATAAAATATTTTCTAACTAAAAATGAATCTGTTTAGTGATTTTTTTAATTTATTTTTTCAAAGATGAGTCCAAATCACTTTGTTGCATTTAGAAAGAAGGCAAATACAGTGACGAGTTGCCTGTGAAAAATGATATGTCAAAACAGTGTTTAGTTAACTTGCACATACATTGGTTTGGGAGCCCAGCATTCATTTTTCATGTTAACATTATACTGTAATGGTTTAATGTACCATAACAGTTAAAATTAGCACATTAGTAGGGTTCGTTCTTCTGCAACAGCTTATCATGATATTACAGAGCACCACACTGCATGACTTGCTTGCACACATTTATTAAGGTGCTATAGAAAAGTCATACCATTAAAACCTGAATAGCCTTGAAAACCAAGAAATGAAGTAGCTAGGGATTGGTTTAAAATTTCAGTGAAACCAAGTTAATGAACTTGTGTTGATATGTACAGTCATGCTCATCTTCCACCCCATTCAAATACAGTGGCCATGGGACCTCTCATAATATCTGAGGCAAATTACTTCTTGTTACAGCCAAAAAGGATGGAAAAGGAAAGTGAATCTCAGGAGATTATTCTATTCCATTTTGATTCTGATTTCTTGTCTGCCCACGCTACCAAGCTAGCTTTATGTACTTTGAGAGTATATCGGGAAATGAGCATGTCTTGGGCGCGTTTGTTTTCTTTCTTTTCCCATCCACAAAACGCGACTAGTTTCATTGCGGCTAAAATGCATAAGATCGAGATACTCGTTGCCATCCGTTTGTTTAAAGAAGCACAGACTGGGAGGGTTTGAAGAGTGAAGATCTTGATCAGTTTTATGATAGTCCTGAGCGATGTTTGAAGCGGCATGGCTCAGCAACAGTCGCTTTGCTGTTGGCTATATGTCGTTGATAGCACAAGGCTAGCTTTACAAGCAAGTTTCTGATGATGGACCTTTTCACTATATCCTTGTTTTTCCTTGAAAAGAAACTGTGTGGAGCCGGGAAGCAAAGCTCTGCCACTTTTATTTGGGTTAATTAGTAGTTTATTCCACAGATTATCTCAATATAATGAATAAGATTGCAAAGTCCTCTTCCAGGTGTGAAAATGAGATTGTTTTTACAGGTTGGCAGCATGCATGAAAGAACTAATCCCCCCCAAAAGTCAAGACAGATATCTTGTTCTTGTGTTAAATATAGGGAAA